CTAGCAAGGATAACATTTCACGAACTAATTTATTACAAAAGTGGCATTCTATCACAGTACCATGCTTGAATTTACTGATATATATATATATATATGTATATATATATATATATATTGGGATTTTGCTTCCCAAGCACTACCAAGCCTTAATAAGCAAACCAGTATATATACAGTACATACATACACTATATATATATATATACAAAAAGGTTATGGTGGGGAAAAATTGTGATTGAAAACCCCTTCCACATGAAGTCTGTGGATAGTTAATACAATGTTAAACAAAAATCGGCACACCATTCAAGCACTAAAACTTGCTTTTTCCACAGAAATCACAAATCTGCAGTTATGGGCATATGCAAATTAGTTTAACAAAGAATCCCATTTTTGCCTCATTCCATTTTAAACATGGATTTCTTTGAGTTGTGTTTGCAGTATACAACAGCTTGGAAACACAACTTAAGAAAAGATGCAAGATGCGTTAGTGTTTTTATGTCATTGGTTTTATTATCTGGCCCTTGACCCCGACCTACCATCTACAAGGAACCAAGCTGAGTGACATATCCACAGGCGGGGTTCATACTGCATCAGGCACATGTATCTGGAGCTGAACATAAGCTCCAGAAAATTGTAAGTTAGATTTCTCTGATGTTATCTCACCATCTAGAGAATATACTACACTATATTCTATATTTCTGTCTTCATATTTTCCATATTGACTCACCACCATACGAGTTTGAGGACTCCGAGAAGGCGCTGCTTCCCTGTACCCATTCCTGACCTATACCTAGGAAATTACCAGCTGCCATACCCAGATCTAACAAGTGCTAGGAACCTCACTATTTCACTTTAATGCCAAAAATCCTTAAAGAACTGAAGCAACTTTGTAGAGAAGATTGGACCAAATTTCCCCCACTATGATGTGGGAGACTGATAAAGTCATGTATAAAGCAATTACTTTAAGTTATTGCTGCTAAAGGTGGTTCTACAAGCTATTGAATCAAAAGGTGTATTTACCTTTTCAGACATGGCTTCTCCATTTTGGCTTTATTTTTGTTAAATGAATCATGATGTGTTGTTAGAAAAAAGACACAACATCCAGTGTTGGAAAAGAAAATCCTTCTCTGGAGTTGGTAAGGTTGTAGGGTATTAGGGCATAACCCAAGGGATATAATATAGAAAAGGAAAAGACTTGAACTGGGGTTACCAAAAGATCCTCCCAGAAATCAGTCCCTATACCCTGTATTAAAGCTGTTCATTAATCTAAGGCAGCCACTTGCGAGTATAGAACATAAATGAAATATATAGAAAATAATAAACTTTTATTGGCCCCTCTTAAGGAGTAAATTAAACGAAGAAAAGAGAAGTGAATTACTATATACAGTGAAGCAAATGAAATAAAATATATACAAAAACCACAGATCTAACAGAATAGCAGACATATTTGTATATATTTTATTTTATTTGCTATAATTGATAGTAGATATACTCTCTTAGTGGTCTATACAGTTGCAAGAAAAAGTATGTGAACCCTTGGATTTAATAACTGGTTGAACCTCCTTTGACAGCAATAACTTCAACCAAACGTTTCCTGTAGTTGCAGATCAGACGTGCACAACGGTCAGGAGTAATTCTTGACCATTCCTCTTTACAGAACTGTTTCAGTTCAGCAATATTCTTGGGATGTCTGGTGTGAATCGCTTTCTTGAGGTCATGCCACAGCATGTCAATCGGGTTGAGGTCAGAACTCTGACTGGGCCACTTCAGAAGGCGTATTTTCTTCTGTTTAAGCCATTCTGTTGTTGATTTACTTCTATGCTTTGGGTCATTGTCCTGTTGCAACACCCATCTTCTGTTGAGCTTCATCTGGTAGACAGATGGCCTCAAGTTCTCCTGCAAAATGTCTTGATAAACTTGGGAATTCATTTTTCCTTCGATGATAGTAATTCGTCCAGGCCCTGACGCAGCAAAGCAGCCCCAAACCATGATGCCTCCACCACCATACTTCACAGTTGGGATGAGGTTTAGATGTTGGTGTGCTGTGCCTTTTTTTCACCACACATAGTGATGTGTGTTTCTTCCAAACAACTCAACTTTGGTTTCATCTATGCACAGAATATTGTTCAAGAATTACTCCTGACCATTGTGCACGTCTGATCTGCAACTACAGGAAACGTTTGGTTGAAGTTATTGCTGTCAAAGGAGGTTCAACCAGTTATTAAATCCAAGGGTTCACATACTTTTTCCACCTGCACTGTGAATGTTTACATGGTGTGTTCAATAAAAACATGGCAACATTTCATTCTTTCCGTGTTATTAGTTTAAGCAGACTGTGATTGTCTATTGTTGTGACTTAGATTATGATCGGATCACATTTTATGACCAATTTGTGCAGAAATCCATATCATTCCAAAGGGTTCACATACTTTTTCTTGCAACTGTATTTGTCTCAACAAGCTGGTCTCAATATTTTGTTCACTAATGATTAGAGTTAAGAGAACCCGGACTGTAAAGTTCGGGTTCATACCAAACATTAGGTTTTTTGGACCCCGGACCCGAACATGGACATATCACTGTATGTTCGGGTTGGAGTTCGGTGTTCGGCGATTTAATGGCGCATTTTGAAAAGCTGCAGGGCAGCCAATCAACAAGCGTGTGCCCTTAGAAGCCATCACAGCCATGCCTACTAATGGCATGGCTATGATTGTCCAGTGCAGCATGTGACCCAGCCTCTACTGAAAAGCTGGATTCGCGTAGCGCCGCACGCACATGCGGTCTTATTAGTGTATGGAGAGGATGCTGCCACTGATAGGGACAGCTTAGGAAAGAATTCTGCAAACTAGTACATCAGTGGGGTGGGATGCACTTCATATCTGAGAGTCAAATAGAAGCTTCAAATACCGCAGTTACATCGGAGTTTAAAAAAGTCAATTTTTTGGGTGCTAAAAAGTACATTAGTGGGGTGCACTTCATATCTGAGAGTCAAATAGAAGCGTCAAATACTGCTGTCACATTGCAGTTTTAAAACTTAAATTATTTGGGTGCTAACCTGCTAAATAGTATTTTAGTGGGGTGCACTTCATATCTGAGAGTCAAATCAAAGCATCTAATAGTGTGCTTACAGTGCAGTGGTAAACATTCTTATTTTCTGGGTGTTAATCTTTAAATAGTACATTTTGGGGCCTGCTCTTCATATATGAGAGTCAAATAGAAGCGTCTAATAGTGTGCTTACTGCGCAGTTGTAAACATTCTAATTGTTTTGCTGCTAATCTGCTAAATACTACATTTTGGGACCTGCGGTACACTTCATTTCTGAGAGTCAAATCGAAGCGTCTAATAGTGTACTTACAGCACAGTGGTAAACATTCTTATTTTCTGGATGTTAATCTGCTAAATACTACATTTGCAGCCTGTGGTGCACTTCATACCTGAGAGTCAAATCGAAGCGTTTAATAGTGTGCATACAGCGCAGTGGTAAACATTCGTATTTTCTGAGTGTTAATTTGCTAAATAGTACATTTTGTGGCCTGCTCTTTATATTATTTATTATTTATTTATAAAATATTTTACCAGGAAAGATACATTGAGAGTTCTCTCGTTTTCAAGTATGTCCAGGGAGTATATCTGAGAGTCAAATAGAAGCGTCAAATAGTGTGCTTACTGCACAGTTGTAAACATTCTAATTGTTTTGCTGCTTATCTGCTGCTTCATTGGAGTTTTAAAAAGTCAATTTTGATTTATTTTTTTATTTTTGGTGCTAAATAGTATATTTGGGGTGTTCACTTCATATCTGAGAGTCAAATCGAAGCGTAACTTTGATTCAAATTTACTACATCGGTCACTTGTAATATTGTTTCACACCTACAACACTTGTTACACAGATCTAAGTGATAGAAAACAGATTTTTTACACTAGAAACTACCAGATAACAAGCTGCTATATTTAAACCAGTGATCAATAGCTAAGAGGTACTTCAACAATATTGTAATTCTGGGGCAATACTCTCACAAGTCAAACTGAAAGGTCAGTTTACAAGGAAAACTGTTGCCTGGATACAATTCTAAAACAATTCCATATGTCCTTTGCAGACTTTACATACTGGAAAAACACAGGTGTCAACTGCAGTGGCTTTCTGCAGTGTGCATACCGGAAAGGAGGGCAGAGTTGAGGAGTGGGTGGAAGATGATGTGGAGGATGATGCGGACCTAGACCCCACATGGAATCAAGGTCATGCGAGTGACGTGTGTAGTTTGGAGGAAGAGGCACTGGTTGCACAGAGGCACCAGCACAGCATAAGAGGGAGCAGGGTGCAGAAGCAGAGCGGCCGCCCCCTGCGCTCGTCGGCATGTATTAGCTCGAGAATTACCAGTTATCCAAGTAATACATGTAGCGATCAAAGGATCCATAATAGAGTTGAGTGAACCCAAACTGCAAAGTTCTGGTTCGTACTAGATTTAACGATCCATTCGTAGTTTCACAGTGAGGTGACCAGGACCCAGACACTGTCTGGGCGGCGGCGGACGACCGGGACCCAGTATGCTTGATGTTGAAGTTAGGAGTCACAGTGTGGAATGGATTAGCAGGGTCTGGTGCAGGGTAACCGCACGCCCCCTGGTGTTGAGCACCAGTGTTTGTGCGGCCACATACCAGGACCCTGATGCAGCTTCAGTAAAAAGAGTACTGGATACCAGAAGCCATCACCAGACTGATCCGCTACTTGGAACAGGATGTGACATTCACTGTAGTGCCTTTGCAAGCTTTTGGCATAGTCACCCTGCTGCTGCTCGCCTGTCTGCACTGCAGCGGAACTTCGACCTTCCCGCTCACCGCCTCATGAGACTGTGCGAGCAGCAGCAGGCAATAGTGGAGTTTCAGCTGCAGCACGCACGGGTCAGTGGCTCTGCACCAGACTTCCCTCCAATTGATCAGAGTTAAAGGATTTCAAGTGGACTCATTACAATTAGAGGGCCTCTAAAGAGTTCTGTATTGTTATTTGTCGTCACTACCTTCCCGCGTTGGGAGTGGGTCATTTGCTCGCCTGCTGCCTTCCTTGCATGTGGTAGCTGTTTCTCAGGGTCCTTATACAGAATGGAACCCTGATTCCCCGTTACCCCTGGTCACCATGGTAGGTGCAGAAACCGGCATCGAAAGTTGATATGGATGACATCCGCATGCAAAGTTGCCGCCACGGGGATGTGCGATTGGCCCGAGGTTCTCTAGAGTCAACAAAGTGCCTGCGCAACTATAATGTCAACAGCTACTCTGCGGAACAGAGTTGTCTTTTTTTATATGTCCCAATATTTTGGGGGCTACCTCAATTAAAATATATTTATATATATATATATATATATATATATAAACAGTGTTGGCGACCTCATCCTCCTCCTCCACCGCCACGGTCACCGCCTCCTCAACCTATGGGTCACTTAGTATAAACTAGGTACACATTAGCAGAGATGTAATCAAGATCAGGAAGGAGGTTCAGCGCTGATAGGAAAACAGAGAATATGACAGCAAGGTAGCACACCTATGGAAAAGGGGAATCCCCTCTAAGCCCCTTGGAATACAATGGAGAGAAAAGCACAAATAAGGGTGCGCCTAAGACAAGTAGAATGAATGTATAAAAATATATATCAGAGAGTCCAAGCAGCGATACCTAGAAAGTCCGAATATAAATAATCCACATACGCAGGAGGTAGTCCTAGTGCTACATAAAATGGTATGTGAAGTCCCAGATGTATATCCGCAGCTTCAAAATGGAAATGTGAAGAAAACAGAAGACAAGGGAAACTCCAATGGTATAGTATGAACGGTAAATAATATTGTATATAGAATAGTAGAACTACTCACAATATTCAGAGCTTAGTAGTGGAATAATCCCTACTCAAGGATATACGGTGCTCCTCTTTTGTTCTTTAGCAGAGTACTTTGGTGGAGTAGTCCAGCTCGAGGTAAAAGAATAAAATATAGTGCTCACTGTATAGTTGATAAAATGTAAAAACAGAATAAAATATACTCACGGTATATAGAGCAGACATACTGCTCGGTGGATGGCGTATGGGTGGTATAATCCCCACTTTAGGATTCTTGGTACTCCAATATGGACAAAAAGATAGTAGTAGTCAGGTCTGAATAAAATAAACTTGCAAATAGTAAAATAATAAAATTATACTAAAAGAAGGTAATATCATACTAAGGTGGAAAGAGGAATGTGGCAACCAAATGTATAATAGCCAAATATATATAAAAAGAGAAAAACAGACCTAACATATAGCACTTATATAAGAAAACATAAAATTGCACAGATAAATTGAAATTCCCGCCAAAATGACGTAACCAGCGTCATGGGAGTGGACACAATTCAATAAAAATGTGGAAAATATAAAAAATCAATATAAGAGTGTTTAAAATATAGTATAGAAGTCAGAAGCATTATTTGTACACAAAATATTAAAAGACGAGGTTTTACAGTGTACGAAATTATATAAATTATAACATCACGTGACGCGGAAGTAAATAAGAACATGTCATGTGATATTAGGTTAAGTAGGAGCCTCTGGGTTGAGTTTTATGATCAGAGGCTCCTTGAGTCCTTGAGTGGGGATTATTCCACTACGTGCCATTTACACCAGAGCTGGATTTAAGCTCTGAATATTGTGAGTAGTTCTACTATTCTATATACAATATTATTTACCGTTCATACTATACCATTGGAGTTTCCCTTGTCTTCTGTTTTCTTCACATATCCATTTTGAAGCTGTGGATATACATCTGGGACTTCACATACCATTTTATATAGCACTAGGACTACCTCCTGCATATGTGGATTATTTATATTCCGACTTTCTAGGTATCGCTGCTTGGACTCTCTGATATATATTTTTATACATTCATTCTACTTGTCTTAGGCACACATTAGCAGAGTCTTGTGAAGGCCTTTTCTCCATGCATCACGAGTTGAGCATTTCTCCATGCATCAGGACTGCAAGAAATGCACCGCAGGCCGCAAATGTTTCTTTTTTTTGTATGTCCCAATATTTTGTGGGCTACCACAATTAAAAACATAAAAAACAGTGTTGGCTACCTCATCCTCCTCCTCCACCACTACTTCCACCTACACCGCCACGGTCAACGCCTCCTTAACCTATGGGTCACTTAGTATAAACTAGGTACACATTAGCAGAGGCTTGTAAAGGCCTTTTCTCCATGCATCAGGAGTTTAGCATTTCTCCATGCATCAGGACTGCAAGAAAAGCACCGCAGGCCGCAAATGTTTCTTTTTTTGTATGTCCCAATATTTTGTGGGCTACCACAATAAAAAAAAACACATAAAAAACAGTGTTGGCTACCTCATCCTCCTCCTCCACCGCTGCTTCCACCTACACCGCCACGGTCACCGCCTCCTCAACCTTAGTATAAACTAGGTACACATTAGCAGAGGCTTGTGAAGGCCTTTTCTCCATGCATCAGGAGTGCAAGAAATGCACCGCAGGCCGCAAATGTTTCTTTTTTTGTATGTCCCAATATTTTGTGGGCTACCACAATAAAAAAAAAATAAAAAAACATAAAAAACAGTGTTGACTACCTCCTCCTCCTCCCCACCGCTGCTTCCACCTACAACGCCACGGTCACCGCCTCCTCAACCTATGGGTCACTTAGTATAAACTAGGTACACATTAGTAGAGGCTTGTGAAGGCCTTTTCTCCATGCATCAGGAGTTGAGCATTTCTCCATGCATCAGGACTGCAAGAAAAGCACCGCAGGCCGCAAATGTTTCTTTTTTTTTTGGGCTACCACAATTTAAAAAAAAAAAAAAACACATAAAAAACAGTATTGGCTACCTCATCCTCCTCCTCCACCGCTGCTTCCACCTACACCGCCACGGTCACCGCCTCCTCAACCTTAGTATAAACTAGGTACACATTAGCAGAGGCTTGTGAAGGCCTTTTCTCCATGCATCAGGAGTTGATCTCAGTTTGAACAATGAAAGAGAATACCATGCACTCCAATCCTCTCTCAAATGGATAATTCTGGTGATCCTCCTGACAGCCGTGCTTTAGATTTTGATTTATGTTCTTCCAAAGCTAAAATCAAAGATTCTATCTTGTGCTATTTTATGGCTCAGCTGTATTTTTAATTTTTATGTTATTTTAAGTGATTTCCCTATCCACATTTGTTTGCAGGGCACTTGTCCTACTCTTACCCCCATTTTACTTCCTTTTGCAGCTCCCTAGCCCTTTCCAGGAGTTTTTAGAGGCATTTTTTGCCCAAAAGTTCGGGTCCACCATAGGCGTTCGCACGGGGTGTGCCGGGTGTGCCGGGTGTGCCTGGGGATCTCCCGTCGGCTCATGCAGAGCCGGCGCTATCCGAGCGCTGGCTCTGCTCTCAGCCTCCCTCCCCACAGCAGCATGGAGGGAGGCAGGAGAGGACCCGGGGAGCTCAACCAGCAGCTCCGCCGGGTTCCTCTCGCGAGATCTGAGCCTAGAGTTCAATCTCCACTGGACCACCAGGGAGAGCAGCAGGAACAAGAATCCCCCCTCCCTACATAAGGTAAGAATGGAGGGGGATATTAAGTAATGTACCCCCACCTCCACACACATACAACACACACACACACATACAGCACCCACACCCACACACACAGCATCCACACAGCACCTACACACATACAGCACACACATACAGCACCTTCACACATACAGCCTCACACACACACACAGCACCCACACACACACAGCACCCACACACAGCACACACACATACAGCACCCTCACACACATACACCACACACATACAGCGCACACACACATACAGTGCACACACAGCACCCACAAACATACAGCACCCTCACACACATACAGCACACACATACAGCACCTTCACACATACAGCACACATGAACACACAGCACCCAAACACAGCACACACATACAGCACCCACACACACACATACAGTACCCACACACACACAGCACACACACACACAGCACACACATACAGCACCTTCACACATACAGCACCCACACACACACAGCACACACATACAGCAACCTCGCACATACAGCACCCACACACATACAGCACCCTCAAACACACAGCACAGAAACAGCACCTTTACAAACACACACACAGCACCCTCACACACAGCACACTAACAGGACCCTAACAAGCACACACACACAAACACCCTCACACACACACCCTCACACACACACAGCACACAAACAGCACCCTCACACACACATCACACTAACAGAACCCTCACACACAGCACCCTTACACACACACAAACACAGCACCCTTACATGCACAACACCCTCAAACCACCCTCACGCAGCACACACACACAGCAGTGTGTGTGTGTGTATGTATGTATGTATGTATATATATATATATATATATATATATATATATACATACACACACATACATATACACGCAGCGTGTGTTTGTGCTTTAGGGTGCACACCCTAATGCAATAGGCTGCGCACGCCTATGGGGTCCACATTTACTTCAATGGGGTTCGGGGTCAAGTTCGAGCCCGAACCCGGACTTTTTTTCATCCAGATTTCCGCTCAACTCTACTAATGATTACTCTAATAAGTCTTAGGGCTCATTAAGAATAGAGAGTGCTATTGTAGACCGGTCAACAATATACTCTCACCTGTTAAAATACTCAGGGATGCTTTACATCGTCTTTCAGTGTGGTAAAGAAAAACAGTGCCTATCATAAGCATTTATCAAATGTGTCTGCCGAAGTGCCAGGTTTGATTGAGATTGATGCCCATTTAGGAAAGAATTTATCACAAAAGGGCTATCAAGTTTACAATAGTCAGGAACCTAATGCTCACAAGACACGGTCAGCATTAGGGATGTGCGTGGCAAAAAATGTGGTTTGGTTTTGAAATTCGGGTAAGTAAAAAAATCTGTCTGCTTCGGCTATTCGGACCAATGGCATTCGGTTTGGTTCGTCACTTCTGAACTACCAAACTTCGTCACTTCTGAACTACCGAACTTCGTCACTTTTGAACTACCGAACTTCGTCACTTTGGAATTTCAGTGCTTCAGAACCTCGGCACTTAGGACATTCGGAAGCATCCAAATGTCCGAATGGCATGAAATTCATACAAATGTACATTGCACATGTCTATTTATATACTATCCTACCTCAATGACTCTGTGTGCCCTCATGGCCAAGTGTCAGTGACAAAATCACTATTAATTGGCTGTCCTCTAACATCAAGTATTACAAGCAAGCAAGAATTAGCTTTTTGGTCAAAATTACTTGTCATCATTCACATA